TGTATTGTGTATTGGAACTGATTTAGCAGCTTGATTTAGCATTGATAACCTTTACGGACTTAAACAGATGTATTCCACTTATCATTACTTCCCTGTGTTGAGAGTCTTCTGTGAATGGCCTTCTGCAAAACTAGGAGTCTTTAAAGCTTAGGGAATTGCAGAAATCAAAAATTTGGTCAGCCTTTGCAATAAACTGTGCTGTGTCTAAAACATCACCAGATAGCCCATTTAACGCAACATAGGTGTTAAGAGCAGCAGCAACTGAGTGACTGAATACCTGGGATGCAAGCTTTACTTCCATCTTAGCAAAGCCATTTGGGTTAAGATGTTTTGGAGTCAATTTAGGTGCAATTCTAATCGCTTGTTGTTGATCTTCGGCAAAAAAGTCACGAACATTCTTCCATTTTGAAACTTTCTTGTTAAACTTAAATTTATATTTCATTAAATTATTTCTCAATGATTTCAAAAGATGTGGGGGGTCAAACATTGCAAAATATTTCTTTCTATAAAGGTTTCTCTACAGCAACACCCATATCATTAAAAAATTTAAGGAAATTTTATCCTTGATCAGAAACCAGTGCAAGTACCTCTAAGCCCATAGATTTCAGATGCCCAAGAGCTTCATTTATTATATCTTTCAACTTTAGAGAATCACAAGATTCATTAACAAGATAATATGCTAGAGGTTGCTTCCAATTGTGCACTATACCTCTCACCATCAATAGCAATGCAGAAATAGCCAACTTTCCAGGGGAGATGCCTGTACCCAAATCTTCTAAGCCATCAAGTGTATCTTTTGATACATCATAAAATATATGTTTTTCAAAGATATTCATCCATCAATAACTTGATATTCATTCAAACATCATACAAAACTCTCCAGCAGCAAGGAGAGACTTGACCCATTCTTCAATTACGAACAGTGACTTACTAGAAAACCCAATGTCTGAAGCAAATTTAGAAACCATTCTAGTTAAGATCCTTTTCGAAGGGCAGATTGAATGTTTTTGCTAAAAATCTATATGCACTTACACTGATATGATATAAAGTTAAGCAACATGCCTTAAAACTTTGATCTTATCTATCACCTTTACATTTTTGATGCTGAAAAATGGATTTATTTTTTAATGAAAGTCAACATTGAAACAACACCCTCGAGTAGCTTCAAAGCCTGTTTGGCATTTTCAATTCTTTTTTTTTCAAATTTGGGCATTTTCAAATTTTTTCATTTTAACTATGGATAATTTTCCGTAATTTCTTTTTGCGTGGTGTGTTTGAAGTAATGGAAGCAGATGTTTGGCAAGCCTCTGACACATCATATCCAATCGTTTCTGTGTTTTTGCAACCCACCATATTTATTGATGAATCTGCAATACCTATATGTTTGTGATGAACAGAAAATAAATGTTCAGTTATTGTATTCTAAGTATGAATATGTCTTCATTTAATTTTGGTGCATCAAGGGCTAGCAAAAAATGAAAATTTAAAAGACTTTTCTGCTCTAAAATTCCCTTAATAGGAGCAATCAATGATATTCAGTACTATCACTTGGTAGAATTAAGTGCCTTACATGTAGTCAAAGTATAATGTAATAATTTAAGCAGGTTGTTTATTATACAATTGAGTTTGATAATTTTTTCACATACATGGCTCAGTTGTTTTTATTGTTATCTCTTGTGGTTCCTTATCAAAAAGAATTTCTGAAAGAACAAGGATCAATGAAAAAATTAGTATAAGCCAGACAACAAATTGATACCAAAAATTACAATTTTCTTTTTCAAGAGCATCCAGTAAGTGCTTGTAAACCTTGCCAATTAAAATAATTTTTGTTGGAAGGGAAAATACTTGACCTCACTTTAATGTTACCATAAAAATAGTTTACTATCCAAATATGTTCTTTGTTACCAAAATATAATGTTAGTGGTGGACAATAATCACCTATATGTATGGTCTTCTGAACTAGAACTGTCCTGGTCCTTTTTGCTTTTCTTTTTGTTTGTTCATTAAAAGAGAAAAACGTTGAATTTGTTATGCATCTATTTGAAAATTGACTATTCATTTTATTTGTTATATTTTGTAAAAAATCATGAGGCAATCGGGACATTATGCAAAATAATAAACATTAGTCATTTGTTTGATGATGTAAGCCTTCTTGATGTGTGAAGAATGGTTATTTGAAAATTGATACAAACTCAACAAAACAACTCTACCTATGTTGAAAATTCATGTAAATTCACAGCAGAAAGAGCAATGCTGTTCGGACTCAACCAATATGAATGAAAATTCACCATTTCAAGGGCTTCTTAGATTACCTTCTTTTGAAAGCCGTGAATAGAAAACATTCTGGCAAGTCAGTTTTCTCTCTCCCTTACTTCGTTTCTGACTATGAACCTTTTGAAAGGCGAATATTTTGTAGAGGCGCTGTTTTTCCTCAGCTTAGCATTGTGATTGCCAGTCCATTTTTGTTTTTAATAGGGTATAGTACAAGGTCATACTTTTGTTATAAATCCCTTTCATGCCCATATTAGGTTTCAAATTAAGAGAAAAATCAAAACCAAAAATTGTTGTGTTAGTTTGTGCTAACAATTTGATTTTCCGTGTTAAATTTTAAATTGATGGTCATTTGGGGTAAATTTGGGGGCTGGGCCATATGGCCCTTGCGGGCACTCAGGGCAGCTAATAAGAACAACTAATAGAAACCAGCTGATAAGAAGAGACTTCTGTGAAGGAAAATGTCAATAATTTGAAAACACTAGTTATAAAAAACCACTAAGAACACCCTTTTCAGAAAGATTTCCACTTAAAATGTCTATTATTTCTTGTGAAAAGACAAAAAGCTGTTCCTTTTGTCAGTTGAACAAAAGCCTTTTTCGCATTTTTGACATCACAGTCTTGTCTTCTCTCCACAAAGGAAACACCTGGCTCTATCCTGTCTGTAAACAGGACAGTGTTCTTTTCCATCAGATCGGGTGGTTGCTCCAGGACCTTGCATTTCTGGTGCTTTTCTTTATTCGTTGCTATTTTCTCCATTACTTCCTTCACAAGTGCTTCTGCTACAAGTGAAGTCTTTTTGCTTTGTTTTTGGGACTTGTTTTTGCTTTGCAAGTCTCCTGTACAAAATCCGTGCATTTATAAGACATGTTCCAAGAATCCAAAAAAAATCCTCATGTAGCCTTTCTGCTCCTGTGCTCCATCTTGTAAAGTGCTTGGAATATACCAAAAAGATTCACAAAGCCCATACTTCTGTTTTAGGCTTCAACAACTGCTGGTCTTGCTACCTCACTTGAAGACCATCTTCTGACTGAGTCAACTGGTTCTGTATATGCATAATTGGATGCAAATTGCACCATTTTGTTGTCGAACCAACAAACAAAAGTCAAACCTGGATTAAATCAACAGAGCCATCAAAAGAGCCCCTGCCCTCTTTTTTCAATTATTTTTCAGTTTTCAATTGGCATCCTCTCAATTTTCCTTGATGAAGTGTGCCAATTGCCCAAATTTTTGACTCCTCCAATCTGAGTAACAACTCAAGAAAGTTGAAATAATTATCAAAATACAGCTTGTAATTTTGACCCTCAGGCAGAGGTGCATGACTTGAGAACCATGTAACCAGCAACAGATCCACAGCTTGGCATTGGGATTAGGGGCTTCTTCCATATCAAAATTGCAGCAAAACCCACTCTGTCCATTTCGAGAAAACAGCTTAAATCCTCATTTCTTTGGCTTTTTGGGCGAATATCTTTTCAGGCTACTTTGTCGTTTGAAGGGAATCATCTGCTCATCAATAGGATTGTGTTCTTCAGGCTTTATTTGAAGGCAGTTCTTCCTGAGCTTTTAAAAATAAGGCCTGATTTTGAATAATTTGTCAGTACGTAGGCTTCCTTGTGGAGGTTGGGTTGAATTGTCGAAAAAATGAAGGAATCTTTTGATTTCATCAAGCCTGTTTCAACTCGTCACTTTTGCAACATTATCATACATTTTGCAGTTCTCACAATACATTATGTACCTGGGATTTGCACAATTTTTAGCAGAATTTCAATGAAGTTTTTTATCTCTTGAGATGAAACATCAATAGATTGTTTATTCAAATTGCATCAGTTGAGTTTTCTTTCTTGCTACATTAACTTTTAAAAATACCTCTGATTGCATTATCCCTGTGTTGGCAAATCGAGTCAGTTGAAGATAAGTGTGTGGGATCATCAAAAACTTTATATCATAACCTAAAAATCTGAGAACATACTCACTTTTGAAACTGGTCATTTGGTTTTTTTTAAATCGATAATCACAAGGTTTGGCATAAAATCCTGGCTTGAAACATGCAAGCTAAAATAGGCCAGCGAGTAGGCTGAGGTCAAGCAACGAATGGGAAGCTTTTTAGGGAACTGACCCTTTTTAGGGAACTGCAGAGAAGTTGAGATAAAACATTCCAAGATACCTTTTGTCTCCTTCTTCCAGCTCTTGCAACCTTTCTTTGTGTGTAGGTTTCTTTGATTATTAAGCCACAGTTTCCCAGCACCCAAAAAACAGTGGAATTGGCGGCATGCCAATGTTGAATTGTTGACTGGCAGTTGGCATGGCAGCATGGCCTCAAGGATCACTGCTCAATTTTTAAGCACTTAAAACACAGATATTGTTAGTTAATTAGAACAAAAGTTCAAACCTGCATTCTAAATAATCAGATTGCTTTGTGTTTCGATGGGTGCCTAAACTGAACTGAACTGAACTGAATTTTCATTGATTGTACTTTATGGAACAACCACCTATTCCAACCATCCTGCAGTTTTCAGTCCCACTATCTTGCACCATAATCACAAGGGAGCACATACTATCATCCCCCTTCATGTACTGGATGCTCTAGATTTATCGTCTTACTGCAATACTGATGTGAACACAGACGTTT